TTTTGGGATGGAGTCTCGCTCTGTCACCCAGGCTGGAGTTCAGTGGCGCGATCTCAGCTCTCTGGGTTCAAGTGATTCTCCTGCCTCAGCCTCCCAAGAGGCTGGGGCTACAGGCACGCACCACCGGGCCCTAAGTCGTGTGCTTCCTTTTTGTTTTTGGTTTTTTGAGATGGAGTCTCACTCTGTCGCCCAGGCTGGAGTGCAATGGTGCCATCTCGGCTCACTGCAACCTCCACCTCCCGGGTTCAAGTGATTCTCCTGCCTCAGTTCTCCTGAGTAGCTGCAATCACAGGCACATGCCACCATGCCCAGCTAATTTTTGTATTTTTAGTAGAGACAGGATTTCTCCATGTTGGTCAGGCTGGTCTCGAACTCCTAATCCGGTGATCCGCCCGCCTCGGCCTCCCCAAGTGCTGGGATTACAGGCGTGAGGCTCCGCACCCAGCTGCTTTGTTTTTATTTCCTGTGAGGTGCCCTGGCATTCCTTGTTCACCAGCCGGGGGAGCTTTCAGGAACCCTGGGGTCCCCAGTGCCAGGGTCCTCGGGGTGGCTTCCTCCTGGAGCCTCGCTCTTGCTGGCCTCAGCCACGCCAGCACTGGCCTCTGCCCACAGCATTGCAGGAAGAGGTCAGAGGACAGCAACGGCAGGCCCCGCAACATCCCTATCTCTCATGCCAGGGCCCCAGCCCAAGCCCCGGTGGCCCCACCCGCAGGAGCAGATGCCCCTGGCCCACGGAGGGCGGGAACTGGCTGAGGAGTCTCTTCGACAGACAGCGGTACCCGTTCTCCTCCTCGCTGCTAGGCCTCCAGTGCCCGCCGCTGGTCTGCAGAACCAGGTTTGGGCACGGAGCTGGGGTCACTTCGAGAATAGTCAAGGTGAAGACAGATGGCCCCTGTCTTCGGGGTCTCCAGGTTCCTCCCATGCGCCGGCCGGCAGCCCTGATCTCCTCTTCCATTCCTTTTTTTTTCTTTTGAGACAGAGTCTTGCTCTGTTGCTCAGACTGGAGTGCAGTGGCACGATCTTGGCTCACTGCAGCCTCTGCCTTCTGGGTTCAAGTGATTCTCCTGCCTCAGCCTCCCAAGTAGCTGGGATTACAGGTGTGCGCCACCACGCCTGGCTAATTTTGTAATTTTAGTAGACACAGGGTTTCACCACGTTGGCCAGGCTGGTCTCAAACTCCCAGCCTCAGGTGATCCACGCACCTTGGCCTCCCAAAGGGCTGGGATTACAGGCGTGAGCCACCGCGCCCGGCCTAAACATATTTATTCTTTTGAGATGGAGTCTCGCTCTGTCACCAAGGCTGGAGTGCCGTGGTGTGATCTCAGCTCACTGCAACCTCCACCTCCCCCGTTTAAGCGGTTCTCCTGCCTCAGCCTCCCGAGCAGCTGGGACTACAGGTACCGCCTCCCCTCCGACGCCCAGCTAATTTTTGTATTTTTAGTAGAAGCAGGGTTTCACCACATTGGTCAGGTTGGTCTTGAACTCCTGACCTCAGGGAATCCACCCACCTCGGCCTCCCAAAGTGCTGGGATTATAGGCACGAGCCGCCACGCCCAGCCTAGACATAACTTTTTCTTAAAAAAGCATTCCGTGCCTGAAGCAGATCCTAGCAAACCCTCCCCAACAGGCTCAGTCTAAGATTTGGCGTATCTGTGCCACACCACCCGGCCAGCACCTGCCTCCCTCTGAGGCAGCAGATGAGCAGGACTTAATCAGGACCCCACTGGAAACCTGGGGAGACCAGCAGCCGCCTCTAGCCCTCACCGCTCATCAGCATACAAACACTCCCGTCAGCGCCGTGACAGTTTACAAATGCCATGGCAACAACCAGGAAGCTACCTTACCTGGTTCCAGGAATGCCCTGCCCCTTTTCTAGAAAATTCTGAATAACCTGCCCCTTCATTAGCATCTAATTAAGAGTAGGTACAGATGCAGCCAGCATGGCGTGGGGCCGAGGCTCTGGGCCCTCCATGCCGGGCCCTCTGCTGCTGCTCAACCCCGCTCGGCCTCTGGGGCAGCCGCTCTGCCCAACGCTGCTGCCGTAATAAACGTGTTTTCTGGCGGGCACAGTGGCTGGTGCCTGTAGTCCCGGCACTTTGGAAGGCCAAGGCAGGAGGATTGCTTGAGCCCAGGAGTTTGAGAGCAGCCTGGGCAACATAATGGGACCCCATTTCTACCAAGAATACAACCATCGGCCGGGTGTGGTGGTGCACGCCTGGGGTCCCCACTACCCAGGAGGCTGAAGCAGGCAAATCGCTTGAACCCAGGAGGTCAAGGCTGCAGTGAGCTGAGATCTTGCCTCAGCAGTGCAGCCTGAGTGCCAGAGCGAAACCCTGTCTCCAAAAAAAAAAAAAAACCAAAAAACTTGCTTTCTTTCACTGTTGCCTTACTCTGGGGTTCTTTTTTCTTTTTTGGAGATGGAGCCTCGCTCTGTCCCCCAAGCTGGAGTGCTGTGGCACCATCTCGGCTCACCGCAGCCTCCGCCTCCCAGGTTCCTGCGATTCTCCTGCCTCAGCTTCCCAAGTAGCTGGGATGACAGGCATGCGCCACCATGCCCGGCTAATTTTTGTATTTTTAGTAGAGACGGGGTTTCACCATGTTAGCCAGGATGGTCTCGCTCTCCTGGCTTTGTGACCCGCCCACCTCGGCCTCCCAAAGGGCTGGGATGACAGGCGTGAGCCACCGTTCCTAGCCTCACTCTTGAGTGCTTTCCTGAACAAAGTCAAGAACTCTGGAAGTCTGAGCCACGGTTTCAAGGTTTGCCTGCATCAGCCCAACAACCACAAAGGGACTAAGACAAAGACGCAAAGGGACCCCCTACGGGGCGACGGAGAGGGCAGACAGGTCTTCGCTGGCTCAGGGTGGATGGGAGCTGCAGAGTTGTGCCCCGGCCGAAGCTCCTTTCAGGGCCGTCACCTTTCCTCGTGACTAACGAGCTGAGAAACTCAGTGAAGCGTTCACCTGGACCAGAGAGTGAAGACCATTTGGCCCCATGTGGCTTCCACAGACGGGCAAGTCTGCCTTTTCATACCCTCAACCTTGACCTTTCCAAGCCAGGCGCGGTATCTCACACCTATAATCCCAGCACTGTGGGAGGCCAAGGCGGGCAGATCACCTGAGGTCAGGAGTTCGAGACCAGCCTGGACAACATGGTGAAACCCCGTCTCTACTAAAAATACAAAAATTAGCTGGTGTGGTGGTGCACGCCTGTAGTCCCAGCTAATTGGGACCACTCTACACGGGGCTAGGACCGGGGGTCAGAGTCCAGCCTACACGGGGCTAGGACCAGGGGTCAGAGTCCCACTCTACACGGGGCTGGGACCGAGGGTCGGAGTCCAGTCTACACGGGGCTAGCACTGAGGGTCAGAGTCCAGCCTACACGGGGCTAGGACGGGGGGTCAGAGTCCAGCCTACACGGGGCTGGGACGGAGGGTCGGAGTCTAGTCTACACGGGGCTGGGACCGGGGGTCGGAGTCCAGTCTACACGGGGCTAGCACTGGGGGTCAGAGTCCCACTCTGCGCAGCGTTAGGACTTGGGGTCGGAGTCCCACTGTGTGCAGCGTTAGGACTGGGGGTCAGAGTCCCGCTGTGCGCAGCGTTAGGACTTGGGGTCGGAGTCCCACTGTGCGCAGCGTTAGGACCGGGGGTCGGAGTCCCACTGTGCGCGGCGTTAGGACCGGGGGTCGGAGTCCCACTGTGCGCGGCGTTAGGACTGGGGGTCAGAGTCCCACTGTGCGCAGCGTTAGGACCGGGGGTCAGAGTCCCGCTGTGCGCAGCGTTAGGACCGGGGGTCGGAGTCCCACTGTGCGCAGCGTTAGGACTGGGGGTCAGAGTCCCACTGTGCGCGGCGTTAGGACAGGGGGTCACAGTCTCACCCTATGGCGTTCATTTCTTCTCAGCCGCTCTGTTAGGATTGTGGGCTAGGGGCTTTTTATCCTGCCATCTGGTCACTGTTTTCGCCTGTCCTTTTGTAGTGTGCTTAGCAGAAAACGAAAACTAAAACAAGAGACCCCTCCTCTGTCCCCTTCCCCTGTGAGTACAGGCGTCAGTCCACTGCCCTTCTGACCTTTCTGGGAAAAAAAAAGGGAGGTGGGAATGTTACAGGAGAAAATAACTGTGTTCTTGGCACCCATACAACAATGTGGAGATCTCAGGATGGTCACGAAGAAACAAAGTAAATAAAACGGCAATTGATGGGA